AATAATCTTTTGTTTGTTTCCTGCCACCATCTCCCAGAGGGACTTGGGGCAGCTCACAGAACACTGAAGGTGTAACATGCAAAATACAACAAGTGCAAAACAAAACATAAACAATAAACAGTCAACATCACAATTTCACAGTACCCGCTGGTAAAAACAAGAAAATACAGCAACTGCTGTAGGTGAAAACAAGAGTATTCAATCATAGAATTGTAAAGTGATTAATAAAGAATCTGAAGGCCTTCATATGTATTATGACAGAATCTAAACATGGATGAAGGCTTGTCGGAAGAGCCAGGTCTTTAATTGTGTGCGGAAGGTTTGGAGGGTGGGGGCTGGGCTGATCTCCCTGGGGAGAGCAGTCTAAGGCTGGGAGGCCACCACCAAGAAGGCCCTCTCTCTTGTCCCCACCAACCACACTTGAGGAAGGAAGGAAGGGAAAGAGGAAGGAAGGGATGATTAGTGGCACCCATGGGACCAAGAGGTCCATTCCAGACCAAGTTCCAGACACACATGTGCTGCCCTTCCCTCTGAGAGCCCCCTTCAAACACTTGGCAGGGATGGCGTGAGCTTGGCTACTGACAGATGCTCTAGAAGGTGTTAGGTAGGCTGTTAGGAATGGTGGGAGTTGGGAGTCCAAAGCAGCTGGAGGACCTGATGGCATACTCACAGGCCGCGTAGGATGAGCGGGACCTGGAAGGACACCACGGCCTCCTTCTGTCGCACCACGAAGAGGACGGGGGTCTCCTTCTGCTCTGAGAGAACGTTGACCGAGACGCGGACCCCCTCCGTCTGCAAAGGGAAGAAGGAACAAGGGGGTCGGTTGGGGTTATTATTGGGGTTTACGGCCTCACACCCTTTCACGTCTCTTTGTGCCCCTTGAAAGAAGAGCAGGGTATCATCCCTTTCCCCAAAAGCCACCCAAAAAGTTAATGTTGTACTCCATCACACTCGAGAATGGATCCACTTAAAATTCGGTTTCTGCCTCCTGCAGAATTCTGGGGTTTGTAGTTGAGGGAGGGGCCTTTAATAGCCTCACTAAACTACAAACCCCAGAATTCGGCAGGAGACAGAAATCGGATTTTAAGTGGATTTTTTCTCTAGTGCGGTGAAGTAGTTATAGTAGTATTCAAAAGAATATCTGTGTTAGTCCATTTCATTGTAAGAAGGAATTTTGCATCTAGTAAAGTGTACTGGAATAGACTTCAGTCAATAAAAGATCATGCTATAAATTGCTTTTTTTCCCTCAAATAGTCTCAAAGATTCCACAGAGTAATTAGATATATATGATTCACACATGTTTTTGCTCTTTTGTAATTTGTTGGGCTTGGCCCATGTAAGCTGCCCCGAATTATTGGGGAGATGGTGGAGAGTATAAAAATAAAATTATTATTATTATTATTATTATTATTATTATTATATCTTGTAAGCCGCTCTGAGTCCCCTTCGGGGTGAGAAGGGCGGCATATAAATGTCGTAAATAAATAAATAATAAATAAATATGATTAGGGCTATTGCAGTCCTAGACTGGAAGCTCCTGCCAGGCCATCGAGGGTCCACCTTATAGGCAGTACGGCTGTCCTTGCTGCTCTTGTGACCCTCTATTGAGAGCTCCTGCCAAGCCATAGGGCCATGTTACAGGCCAGGCAGAATTCATGTTGTGTACAGGATTGCAAGGATGTTATTGAAACCCTCGAGGAAGAAGCTCCAGCCAAGGCATCGTGAACATTATGAGTAATTGTTGTGATGATGGGTGTGAGGAGGATGACCACAGAAGGCAAAGGGAGGTGAGGACGTGGCTCTTTCCCTCTCTTCCCTTCCTTTCTCTTTTTCCTCCCGCCCTCCTCCTTTCTCTGTTTACTTTCTCTGTTTCTCTCTCTTCCCTCCCTCCTTCCTATTCCTTTCTCTGTCTTTCCTATTCTTCCTCTCTTCCCTCCCTCCCTCTTCCTTCCCTTTCTCTCTCCTCCCACCCTCCTTTCTCTCTTTACTTTTCTTCCTTCCCTTTCTTTGTCTTTCCTCTCTCTGTGTTTCTCTTTCCTTCCTCTTCTTTCTCTCCTGTCTTCCTTTCTTCCTCCCCTTTCTGTCTTTCCTCTCTCTGTGTTCCTCCCTCTTCCTTCCTTCCCTCTCTCCCCTTCCTTCCTCTCTCTTTCTCTTCCCTCCCTCCTCCTTTCTCTTTTTTACTTTCCCCTTTCCTTTTTCTTTTCTCTATTTTCCTTCTCCCTCCCTCCCTTTCCTCTTCTCCCTCCCTCTTTCTCTCTCTTTACTTTCCTTCCTTCCCTTTCTCTCTGTCTTTCTCTCTTTCCTCCCCCTTCTTTCTCTTCCCCACCTCTTCCTTCCCTTTCACTCTGTCTCCTTCCTCTTCCTTTTCCTTTCTCATCTTCCATTTCTTTCCTTCCCTCCCTATTTCTCTCTCTTTTTCCATCACTCACTCACACTTTCCTTCCTTTTCCTTTCTCTCTCCTCTTTCTCCCCCTCTCTCCTTCTTTCTCTCTCCTTACTTTCCTTCCTTCCCTTTCTCCTTGTCTTTCCTCTCTCTGTTTCTCTCTTTCCTCCCTCTTCCTTCTCTTTCTCTCCTTTCCTTTCTCTCACTCTCCTTCCTTCCTTTACCTTTCTCTGTCTTTCCTTTCCTCCCTCCCTTCCTTTCTCTATTTCCCTTCCCTTCCTGCTTTTCCTCTCTCTCTCTCTCTCTCTCTCTGTTTCTCCCTTTTCCTTCTCCCTCCCTCCTTCTCCCTCCTCCCTTGCCCTCCTTGTGTCAACACAGCCTTTGCTCCTCCTGCCACTGTGGCACCAGGGGAGGGCTCCCTCCCGGTTCCTCTCCCCCATCTCCCCTTCTCCTCTCCTGACCCTGTTCCGGGTGACGGTGTGGTTGAAGGCGTAGATGTCGAGGAGGGCCTCGTTGACGGACTCCGAGTAGAGGCGGTCGAACTCGGCCTCCTTCTGCACCACCGACTTGCCCGGAGGAGCCGGAGCCTCCCCCAGCGCCGCCGCCGCCGCCACACGGCTCAGCACCACCAGCACCACCACCAGCAGGGCCAGGCCGAGGCCCGGAGAGGAGGGATGCTGGGGATGGTGGGCCTCCGCCATGGCCGAGGAAGAAGAGGAGGAAGAAGGGGCCGCATCCCCTCCTTCCCTTCCTTCCTTCCCTTCTCCTTCTCCTTCCTCCTCCTTCCTGGGCAGCGTCAGCTCTTAGGCCGCGCCCTTTGCAAGGAGGAGGAGGAGGAAGAGGAAAGAGGAGGAGGCGCCCCGGAAGCAGCTCCGCGACGCTCTGCAACACCTCCTTCCCTCCCTCTCGCTGCTCTCCTCTTCTTCTTCTCCTTCCGGGTGTCTCACAGGAAGGCCTCTCTCTCTCTCTCTGTCTCTCCAGGAGAGACAGGAAGCCCCTTCCTCTTTCCTTCCTTCTCTTTCCATCCTTCATTGCTTCTGCTTCCTTCCTTCCTTCCTTCTCCTTCCTTCCTTTCTCTCCTTCCTTCCTCCCTCTTCCTTCCTTCCTTCTCCTCCCTTCTCTACCTCACTCCCTTCCTCTCCTTCCTTCCTCTCCCTCCCTTTTCTCCCCTTCCTTCCTCTCCTTTCCTTCCTTCTCTTTCCATCTCTCCATCCCTCTCTTTCCCTCCTTCCTTCTCCTTCCTCTCCCTCCCTTCTTCCTTCCTTTACCTTCCTTCCTCTCCCTCCCTCCTTCCTTTTCCTTCCTCCCTCTCCTACCCTTCCCTATGCTACCCAAATATCTACTCACACTCTCTCTTTCTCTCCCTCTCTCTTCTCTCCCCCTCTCTCTTTCTCTCCCTCTCTCCTCTTTCCTCCCTCCTCTCTCTTCTCTGGCCTCCCTCTCTTCTCTCTCTTCCTCTCCCTCTCTCCCCCCTCTCTCTCCCTCTCTCCTCTTTCCTCCCTCATCTCCCTCCCTCTCCCTTCCCTTCCCAAGGCGGAAACCCGCTGCTGCTGCTGCCGGAACCAAGCCACGACCTGTCAAAAGGAAGAGAGATTCTTCCCTCCCTCCCTCCCTCGGGATTCAGCCTTCCATCCCTCTCCTTTTTCTTCCTTCCTTCCTTGCTGCCTTCTTCCTCCCTCTCTTCCTCAGCATTCCTACTTCCATTCCCACCCTCCCTCTTCCTTTCTGCCTTCACTTCCTTCTTCCTCCCTCCATTCTGTCCCTTCCTCTCTCCCTCTCTCTCACTTCTCCTTCCCTCCCTTCATCTCCTCCCTTCTCCCCTCCTTCCTTTCTCCCTTCCGCTCTTCCTTCCTTGCACCCTTCCTTCCATCCCTTTCTTCCTTCTCTCCCTCCTTCCTTACTTCATTCCTCCCTTCCCCTTCCCCTTCCTTTCTCCCTCCTCCTACTCTCCTTCCTTTCTCCAATCCCTTTTCATCCCCCCCCACTTCGGCCTCCTCTTTCTCCTTCCTACCCAGCCCTCTGTCCCTCCAACGTCACTCCACTTGATGCTTTTGAGAGTCTTCTTTCCAATATTTGGGAAGTCTTTGAGCCCAATGCCCAGGATTTCCTTCCCAGCTTCCCATCCTTACTCTCCTCCCTTCTCACTCCCACCTCCTCCTTTTCCTATCATTCTACTTCATTCACAACCACTACCTCCTCCTATTCCGCCCTTCCTCTTCTCTTCCCATTATTCCCTTTCTAAACTTCCCTCCTACTGTCCTTTCATCCTTCCTTACCATTTCAACCTCCTACCCTACTACTTCCCTCCGGGTCCTTCCGCCCCACTCTTCCTCCTCACTTCCATTCTTTCTTTATCTGTTTTCGTCTTCTTTCCGTTTCCATACCATTCTTTCCCCCTTCCATCTTTTCCTCCCCTTTCCCTTCCATCTTTCTCCTTTCCTTTCCTATTTCTTCTTTCCCTCTTCCAAACCTCTGTCTCTTGCTCCCCCCCCCCCCGACCTTCCTCGCTTCCTCCCCCCCCCCAATGTGCCAGGGACTGGTACCAGGCTGCCCAGAACCAAGACCCCCCCCCCCCGCCGCCTTTCCGCAAGATGAGAGAGACATCCACACAAACCACTTGGTGAAACATATACATTTATATTGAAATATGCACTAAACAGTGAGCTCTACCACTCGCCAATGCCGTTGTTTTTGCCAAAGCAGAACCACCGTCTCGTTGGTGTTGTGTTTTGAGAGAGAGGGAAGGGAGGGACGCAGGAGAGGGTCCGGGCCACCCCCTCCCAAATCCCCCCCCCCAGACCAGACCAGACATACACTGACAAAGAGGAAAGACAACATTCCCAAACCTTTGCTTTCACACTATTTTTTTTCTTCCTCTTTTTTTTTCCTTTTGCTGCAATAAATATAAAATTGGCAATGCTCATACACCACAGGACAGACAAAAAAAAAAAAAGGAAAAGGATTCTCTTCTGGGTCGCAGCACACAAACTGTAAACAGCAATGAGATTTGATAAGAGAGAGAGAGAAGGGGAGGCAAAGGAGAGAGAAGAAGTGGCGCTCAGGATCGGGACCGCTGGTAGGCAAGTGGGTGTAAGGAGGCGCAGGGAGGGAGCCGGGCCTTGCGTGTGTGCCGAGGGACTTTGCGCACCGCTGACCTTCCCCAGGCATGCCCGTCCCTGTGGCACAAAGCAGGGAAATGCAGCTCCGGCTTGGTGCGCAAAAGCTGCCACTCCAGGGCAAGACAGGACTCAATGCTTCCTCTGCTCTGCACTGCCTTGGCCTTTTGCTGGAGGAAGCAACGCCAGGGGAAGAAATGCTCACGAGAGCAACATGGGAAACCCCCCGCTCCTATGATAAGAAGCCCTGCAGCAAGAAAAAAATAAATCATCACGTCAAGCAGTGGCTGCAATTTTAGGCCGGTGACTTGCCTGCGTCCCTGTCAGAAAGAAGCCCAGGAATCTCCCATTTTAGCAAGGAGATTCCTCCTGCTCAGATTGGATGAGGGCTTTTCCCTTTCTTTGGAGGGACGTGCTCCTTCTCTGGGCACGAATTAAGGCTTTACAGGACCGGTCCCTCGCCATCAAAATCCCTCCGCACCCCAGGCTGCTCATTGCAGCGAGAGAACCGGGGAAACGAGCTTGCAACTGGGCTTTGCCTCCCAGGAAAGCTCTGAACTCCTAACACTTGCAGGTTGCAGGCCTTGAAATAAGAGCAATGGGAGCAGATGATTTCATAGGAAGGGGGAAGGAGCCCAGGCTACTCTTCTCAATGGCATTCTCTCTTTGCAGAACTGGGGAAACAAGCCTGCAAGTGGGCTTTGCCTCCCAGGAAATCTACACCTCTGAACTCCTAATGCTTGCAGTTTGCAGGCCTTGACAGAAGAGCAATGGGAGCAGATTATTTTATAGGAAGGGGGAAGGAGCCCAGGTTGCTCATCTCAATGGCACTCTCTCTTTGCAGCGAGAGCAGAACTGGGGAAACGAGCCTGCAAATGGGCTTTGTCTCCTAGGAAATCTACACCTTCAAAACCATAAAGCTTGCAGGCCTTGAAAGAAGAGTAGAGGGTGCATATGATTTTATAGGAAGGGGGAAGAAGCCCAGGTTGCTCTTCTCAATGGCATTCTCTTTGCAGAATTGGGGAAATGAGCCTGCAAGTGGGCTTTGCCTCCCAGGAAATCTACACCTCTGCAACTCGTAACACTTGCAGGTTGCAGGCCTTGAAAGAAGAGCAATGGGTGCAGAAGATTTTATAGGGAGGGGGAAGGAGCCCAGGTTGCTTTTCTCAATGGTGTTCTCTCTTTGCAGAACTGGGGAAATGAGCCTGCAACTGGGTTTTGCCTCCCAGGAAATCTACACCTCTGAACTCCTAACACTTGCAGTTTGCAGGCCTTGAAATAAGACTGATGGGTCCAGATTATTTTATAGGAAGGGGGAAGGAGCCCAGGTTGCTCTGCTCAATGGCGCTCTCTCTTTGCAGCGAGAGCAGAACTGGGGAAACAAGCCTGCAAGTGGGCTTTGCCTCCCAGGAAATACACACCTCCGAAATCATAAAGCTTGCAGGCCTTGAAAGAAGAATAGAGGGTGCAGGTGATTTTATAGGAAGGGGGAAGGAACCCAGGTTGCTCTCCTCAATGGCATTCTCTCTGCAAAACTGGGGAAATGAGCCTGCAAGTGGGCTTCGCCTTCTAGGAAATATTCACCTCTGAACTCCTAACACTTGCAGGCCTTGAAAGAAGAGCAATGGGTGCAGATCATTTTATAGGAAAGGGGAAGGAACCCAGGTTGCTCTCCTCAATGTCTCTCTCTCTTTGCAGTGAGAGCAGAACTGGGGAAACAAGCCTGCAAGTGGGCTTTGCCCCCCAGGAAATACACACCTCTAAACTCCTAACGCTTCCAGGCCTTGAAAGAAGAGCAATGGGTGCGGATGATTTCATAGGAAGGGGGGAATAAGAGAAAGTAACAGTCATTTGCTTTTCCTAAAATAATAGAAGGAACGTAAGCGCAAGCGGCCCCGAGGAGGGCAGAGGTGTCAGTTTCACACCAAGGAAGGTGACCGGGATGCCAAAGCAAAGCCCCCCCCCCCCTTTTTTATCTCCACCCCTGCATGCATCAAACTAGAGAGCGGCAAAGCAAGCGGCCTGAAATGACAACTTCTTTTTCTTCTTCACTTGATTCGGATGCGATTATTTTCACAGGTTGGGCACAGGTGTGTGTGGGTGCCTCCTGGGGCCGGAAAGCAGCGAGTTATCATCACTTAAAACAAAAACAAAACAACCCCCCCAACCCCAATTAAGTATATAAAAAGAAAACGGAATAACTGGAAGGAAGCCGCTCCTCTTCCAAGTTCAGGGAGTGGAATGTGAGCTCCGCCTGGACAACCAATGAGAGAGAACCAGCAGAAGGGAGCGGGAGCGAGGGGGGGGGGCAGGGAAGGGGTGTTTGGGGGTGTAAACAAGACAAATAAAGAGTGGGAGGGGGGAAATGATCCGCTTGCTTCCTACTGCTATGCCCGCCCACCCACCCCATTTGGTGGCTCTCTCCGCCTCTCCCTTGGCCAGTGCTTGGAAAAAAGAACTTTGGAGGATGGACCGCGCTCGGAGCAGGGAGGGTTCTGTAGTGCCTGGGGAAGGAAGGGAGGAGGGAAGGGAGGAAGGAGGGACAAGGGGCAGTGGGAGGCAGGCCGCGGGGGTCAGGCCAGGGTGGCCTGCTTCTCTTCGGGGGTCTCCTCCAGCAGCTGCATGATCAGTTCGTGGAGGGGCTTGCAGACCTTGGCGTAGCCGGGCCCCGTCAGGTGCAGGAAGTCGAACATGTCGTGGCAGGAGATGGTGCCGTCCGAGTGCACAAAGCCCACGTCCACGTCCAGCAGCTGCACGTTGGACAGCTTGGGCAGCGAGGCCTTCAGCAGCTGGTTCACCAGCGCGTTCTTCAGACGCAGCGGGTTGGGCTTCTCGCCGCGTGGCAAAAGGCCCTGCAAGGAGGAAGGCAAAAGGATACCATCGCTCTCCATCACTTAGGACAGTAGGATCTCGTTTCTCCCTGGGGCTCCTTACAGGGAGCGGTCAACCCTCCTGTTTAAGGAGCTCCATTGGCTGCCGTTCATTTTCCGGTCCCAATTCAAGGTGCAGGTGCTTACCTACAAAGCCCTAAACGGTTTGGGACCTGCCTACCTGTGTGACCGCATCTCTGTGTACGAACCCACACAATCTCTTCGATCATCTGGAGAGGCCCTGCTCACGCTCCCACCACCATCACAGGCGTGATTGGTGGGGATGAGGGAGAGGGCCTTCTCGGTGGTGGCCCCTGACTCTGGAACTCACTCCCCAAGGACATCAGGCATGCCCCAACTCTGGCAGTCTTTAGGAGGAGCCTGAAAACGTGGCTGTTCCAGTGTGCCTTCCAAGAATAAGGAAACTCCCAGCAATATGTCCCTAATTGCACCTATTGGACTGTCTGTACTCCCCATTCTTTGCCGAAATTCTATCTTAGTTAGATTTCACCTGGTCTTGCTCAGCATTATTTTTTAAATTTTTAATTATTATATTAGAATCATAGAATCATAGAATCAAAGAGTTGGAAGAGACCTCATGGGCCATCCAGTCCAACCCCTTGCCAAGAAGCAGGAATATTGCATTCAAATCACCCCTGACAGATGGCCATCCAGCCTCTATTTAAAAGCTTCCAAAGAAGGAGCCTCCACCACACTCGGGGCAGAGAGTTCCACTGCTGAACGGCTCTCACAGTCAGGAAGTTCTTCTCTCACATTTGGCCCAGCCATAGGCTTTTAAATGTTATTGTGTTATTGTTGATGTTTACTGCCTATTTTTTGTTTATGCGTTTTATTTTATTGTCTTGTATTACTGTTGTTGTTTTTGCTGATGTATTGTGGGCTCGGCCTCATGTAAGCCGCACCGAGTCCCTTGGGGAGATGGTAGCGGAGTATAAATAGTTTTATTATATTATTATCTGACATTCCGTCTTATCCAACACCCCCCTTTTCCTCCAGCATTTCCCCTTCAATTCAAGGAGCGCTTTACAACACTCTCTCCATTCCCAATAAGAGAAAAAAGGCAAGACGAGGAGGAGGGAGGAAAGGGTTGGAAAAGAGGCAGGACCGGAAGTGGAAGCGTCCTCCCTCCTTCCCTCCCTCTGTGATTTCCACGCTCCTCTTCCGCATCTGGGCACTTCCTGCTGGGCCGCTCTAGCCCTGAAGCACAGCCTTGCCTTCACCCTTTTGAGTCCCTGTTGTTAGTATTCTAGTTGCCTGGTGAAGTAGCACAACTAGAATATTAACAACAGTTAGACAGGTAACAGCAAGAGACTCCGTATAAACCAACATTTTTGTTTATCCAACATTCTGCCAGCCCATTTATGTCAGATAAGCGAGACTCTACTGCAGGGGTCCTCAAACTATGGCCCGAGGGCCGGATACGGCCCTCCAAGGTCATTTACCCAGCCCTTGCTCAGGGTCAATCTAAGTTTGAAACGACTTAGATTAGCACACAACAACAACAACAACAACAACAACAATCCTATCTCATCAGCCAAAAGCAGGCCCACACTTCCCATTGAAATACTAATAAGTTTATATTTTTAAAATTGTTCTTCATTTTAATTATTGTATTATTTTAAGTGTTTTTTGCACTACAAATAAGATATGTGCAGTGTGCACAAGAATTCATTCATGTTTTTTTCCAAATTATAATCCAGCCCTCCAACAGTTTGAGGGACTGTGACATGGCCCTCTGTTTAAAAAGTTTGAGGACCCCTGCTCTACTGTATAAAATAATAATAATAATAATAATAATAATAATAATAATAATAATAATAATTTAATTTGTTTACCTAGCCAACCTACTTCCCTAGGGGACTCGGGGCGGCTCACAAGGGACAGGCCCAAGATTACAATTAAAACACACATATAAAACACTTTAACCAATTAAAACATCAGATAAAACAAATAACAACACAATAGAAAACAATATAAAAACAATACGGCTGAAAGAAACATAGCTGAGGTCCAGATTCAATGAGTGCAACAACAACAACAACAACAACAATATTGTCGAAGACTTTCACGGCCAGAATCACTGGGGAGTTGTGTGGGTAAGAAACAAAATTATTATTATTATTATTATTATTATTATTATTATTATTATTATTATTTCCTTACCCGCCTCTCCTTGTGCCTCGAGGCGGGTCACAGCCCAGTCAAAACACACAAATATTGTGAAATATGGCCAAACAACACATTAGCCTTGGACTTGATAGCCCTTGTGTTCGCCTCTGATTCAGTTATTGTATAGTAATAAATATAATATTCATCATCCTAGTAATTCTGGCTGTTAAAGCCTTTAACAATACAACAACAACAACAACAACAGTACTGTCAAAGGCTTTCGCAGCCAGAATCACTGGGGTGTTGTGAGGGAAAGAAACAAAATTATTATTATTATTGCTTGTATTACTATTATTAGGGAGCCTCGTTTGGTGCAGTGTGTTAAACCGCTGAGCTGCTGAATTTGTTGACTGAAAGGTCGCAGGTTTGAATCCGGGGAGTGGGGTGAGCTCCTGCTGTTAGGCCCAGCTTCTGCCAACCTATTTATTTATTTATTTACGACATTTATATGCCACCCTTCTCACCCCGAAGGGGACTCAGAGCGGCTTACAAGGTATATATTACATACAATACCTAGCAGTTCGAAAACATGCAAATATGAGTAGATCGATAGGTACCGCTCTGGCAGGAAGGTAATGGCACTCCATGTAGTCATGCCAGTGGCCACATGGCCTTGGAGGTGTCTACGGACAACACCGGCTCTTTGGCTTAGAAATGGAGATGAGCACCAGAGTCGGACATGACTGGACTCAATGTCGGGGGAAAACCTTTACCTCTACCTTTTATCAAAGTCTTTCACAGCCAGAATCACTGGAGTGTTGCATGGTTATTATTATTGTTATATTTATTATTACAGAATAACTGAATTAGAGGAGAACACTAGAAATACCAAGTCCAAGCTATGTTCTTTCTCTCAGCCATACTGTTTTGATGTTGTTTACAATTGTGATTGTTTTTATATCTTATCTGATGTCTGATGTTTTTAATCGGTTGTGTTTTATTTGTAATTTTGGGCTTGTCTCTTGTAAGCCGCCCCGAGTGTTGCTGTTGTTTATTATTATTATTATTATTATTATTATTATTATTAATTTCTACCTAGTGGGAAAAATGAATACAGACTGACCTATTTCCTTCTCAGCTTCTTATCAGAGTTGGGAAAAAGAAAGGCGAAGAGTGGGCAGAATCTTTCTAGAGAAGGTTTCCCTCCCCCCTCCCCCCTCCCCCCCCCCAGCAAAGTATCCTTGGGCCCCAATGGGATCCCGGTACCCAACCCGTGATGATGGGATGGATGGCCTACCAGGACGATGATCTTGGCCTGGGGCTGCTGTGAACTGATGAACTTGGCAATGGCCTCGATCCCGCCGGCGACCTCTTCTGCCGTGTTGAAGTGGTTATTCGTCCCCACCCAGACGACAATGACCTGCAGGCGAGAGCAAGGGGTCAGGGGGGTTGGGAGATGGCACAGAGTCCAAGCCCAAGAGGAGAGTGGGGCGAGAGGGATTGCGGTCTCACAAACCATAGGCTAGCCATGTAATGGAGGCAACAAACTAGAATGCAGCAATGTTTGTGCTGGAACAACAAACAGCAAACTAGATTTATGAACAGAGGGGCATCGCTTCTGTGTTTACTTTTTTTATTGTATGGATCCAGTGTTCAGTGTCCTTCTCATTTCTATAGATGGCTTTACTGATTAATCCTCTGCAGTAAAGGATAAAAGGCAAGTATACAAAGACACAGGAAACACAAATCCCTATCCCAACACCCCTGTAATATCGTTAGCTAAAATACATTCAAGCACTTAGCACTTGCTCTCTCAGCCACAACGTTTACCTTGGGCTTAATGTTCTCCAGCTCGCCGTTCTTCAGCCTCCACAAGACGTGCCCCGTTGTGTCCCCGCCGATCCCAAAATTCAACGCGTGTAAAGGGGAAAAGAGTTCGCGCCAGATCTGTGCAGAGAAACCAGTTTGGCGAATCACCCACTGACCACAGCAGAGCGGAGATCCCTTGTATCTTTGTTCTATTGGTAATTCAGTGACATACGACTCCTTTACGCTTTTGAGTGGCCCAAGGCGCAAATGCAGCATTTGGTATTACTGAGAAACAGCTCATGTAACCAAGAGCCTTGGACTGTTTTGTTTGCTGTTGTTGCTTACGTTGTGATAATGTAACCATTTTTAAATGACTGCTGCCATTACCTTAAGCCAAAGTATCAGCATTTCTCTTGATCCCAATCAAAACGATTGCAAAAATAAAACTTTCATTTGGCAAAATAAACTGTTAGGATGTGTCTCTTTCAGCAGTTCAGGTATAACAAGCTCTACCTCTCGCCATTCTGAGGTTGGCTCTACACTGCCCCACATCCCAGGATCTTATCCCAGATTATCTGCTTTGAACTGGATTATATGAGTCTACACTGCCAGATAATCTGGGATCAGAGCCTGGGATATAGGGCAGTGTAGATCCAGCCATGGTTTGCACTTTAGAGGAATGAGACGAGAAGGCCAAGCTCCAATTTGCATTTAATAATAATAACAATAATAATAACGACAACAATTATTTGTACCCTGCCACCATCTCCCCCAATGGGGACTCAGGGCAGCTTACATGAGGCCAAGCCCAAACAACAAATTACAATAAAATAAACAACATCGCAGTAAGGTACAAAACATATAAATACAATAAACAATATACACAAGGCATAAGAAAAAAGAAGAGTTGGAAGGGACCCCAGTGGCCACCCAGTCCAACCCCCATCTGCCAGGAAGGTCAACATCTGAGTCCTCCCACTAGATGACCATCCAACCTCTGCTTACAAACCTTCAAAGAAGGAGACTTTGCTGGACTCCCAAGCAGTCTGTATTGCTCTAGTTGGAAAGGGCCCACTAAGGGGCCATCCAGCCCAACCCCCTTCTGCCAGGCAAGAAGGCACCATCAAAGCACTCCAGACAGATGGCTACTTCAGCAAAAAAACAAAAACAAACAAACAAACAAAAAACCAGCATCCTTTGCAATCACTCTTGGAGTGAAGCAAATGAGGCCATGGAAGGTGGTTCCACCATTACCTCATACTGCTGTAGCAACTGCACCATGGAGTCCCCCACAAACAGCACGTCCGGCTCCTTGTCTTTGCAGTCCAAGACAAATCGGTTGTGCTGGAAAATCAGAGAGGCAAGGGGGTTAAAAGCAAACAAGGCTTCGCTCCTTTCCTTTGTCACTCTTTGTGGCCTTTAAATCCTTACGCAAAGCAAAAAACTAGAGATTTTAAACTTAGAAATAAGGTTCCTTTTGCTAAGAAGCTGAACAAACCCACCACACGAAAACACAACTGAAGACGTCTCTCTTCCAGCAGGTTGACCCATTTCGACTGTGCATTTCAAAACCACATTCAATGTTTATGGTGCGTGTAATACTATGTTTTCATAAGTGCTTTTAGGGAAGGAAGAGAAGGAAGAGAGAAAGAAAGGCAGGGAGAAAAGAGAGAGAAGGAAGAAAAGAAAGAAAAAAAATAGGTAGGAAATAGAGAAGGGAGGAAGAGAAGGGAGAAAGAAAGGAAAGGAAGAGAAGAAAGAAAGAAAGACAGAGGAAAAAGAGAGGGAAGAAGAGAAGAAAGAGAAGAAAGGCAGAAGGAGAAAAAAGAGAGGGAAGGGAGAGAAGGGAGAAAGAAGGAAACAGAGGGAAGAGAAGAAGGAAAGAGAGAAAGAAAGGAAGAGAGAGAGAGAGAAGGAAGAAAAGAAAGAAAGAAAAGAAGAAAAGAAAGAAAGAAAGAAAGAAAGAAAGAAAGGTAGGTAGGAAACAGAGAGGGAAGGAAGAGAAGGGAGAAAGAAAGAAAGGAAATAGGGAAGGAAGAGAAGAAAGAGAGAAAGAAAGACAGGGAGGAAAAAGAGAGGGAAGGGAGAGAAGGAAGGGAGAAAGAAAGGAAATAGAGAGGGAAGGAAGAAAGAGAGAAAGAAAGAAGGAAAAAGAGGGGGAAGGGAGAGAAGGAAGGGAGAAAAATAAGAAACAGAGAGGGAAGGAAGAGAAGAAAGAGAGAAAGAAAGGAAATAGAGAGGGAAGGAAGAGAAGAAAGAGAGAAAGAAAGGCAGGGTGGAAAAAGCGGGGGGAGGGAGAGAAGGAAGGGAGAAAAATAGGAAACAGAGAGGGAAAGAAGAGAAGAAAGAGAGAAAGAAAAGCAAGGAGGAAAGAGAGAGAAGGAAGAAAAGAAAGAAAGATAGGAAGGAAAGAAAGAGGGAAGGAATCCAGAAAGCATGACATAGTGATTTGAACCTCAGACTGTGGCTGTGCACCCACTGGGCACTTTTCAGCAAGTCCCACTCTCTCAGCCTCAGAGGAAGACAATGGCCAACCTCCTTTGAATCAATCTTGACTAGAAAACTCTGTGAGAGGGTTGCCTTAAATCTGAAAGGACTTGGAAACACACAATAACAACAATAAACTACAGCCTCCCCCCTCCCCCCCGGTGAACTGTCCCTCTGCTTAAAATGTGTGGAGAGCCCTGCTTTAGGACTTTGTCCAAACTGGATGGGGGATAAGCCTTGGCATCTCTTTGATCCCCTTCTCCCCTCTCACCTGCGACATCCACCGGTCATCGCCCTGGACATCTTCGGCTGCGTGAGCGACAGCCGCTGGGTTGGAATCTCCCTGGCTCATCCTATCCCTGGAGAGAGAAACACGGTCAGGAGGCACCCACGAGAGTGCTGGAAATAACAACTAATTTGTTTGTATATAATCCCTTTTGCTTACTGCATTGTATATGTATGTTTTGCTATGCAGCTTTCCTTTTACTCTATGTTTCTGGAGGTTGTGGGCGGGGCTGCAGACCACAACATCAGATCTGGGACTGCTCAGAGCTCAGACTCCATTTTAGAACACAGAGAAGCTGCCCTGTGATAGCTATGGGTGCACCTACACTATAGAATTAATGCAGTTTGGTCCCCCTTGAACTGCCAGGGCTGAAGGCTATGGCATCCTGGGAACTAGACAATGAGGATTGTGTTCTCTATATAAAAGCCATGGATACCTGTGGGGCGGCACTGTGATATCTATGGGCACATCTACACAGCAGAATTAGCACAGTTTAGTCCCCCCTGAACTGCCATGGCTCAAGGCTATGATATCCTGGGAACTGGATGATGATGAGGATAGCCTTCTCTGTCCACAAAAGTCAAGGATATCTATGGAGCTGCCATGTGATATCTATGGGAGCATCTACACTGTAGAATTAACACAGTTTAGTCCCCCCTGAATTGCTATGGCATCCTGGAAACTGGTTGGTGATGATTGTCTTCTGTGTATACCAAAGATGAATATGGAGATTGTTTTCTCTCTCTGTGAAAGCCATGGATATCTTTGGGGCTTCCCTGGGTTATTTATGTTCGCATTTACACATAAAAATTATAGAATCCTAGAGTGGGAAGAGACCTCATGGGCCATCCAGTCCAACCCCATTCTGCCAAGAAGCAGGAAAATTGCATTCAAAGCACCCCTGACAGATAGCCATCCAGCCTCTGTTTAAAAGCTTCCAAAGAAGGAGCCTCCACCACACTCCGGGGCAGAGAGTTCCACTGCTGAACAGCTCTCACAGGAAGTTCTTCCTCATGTTCAGGTGGAATCTCCTTTCTTGTAGTTTGAAGCCATTGCTCCATCACATCCTAGACTCAAGGGCAGCAGAAAACAAGCTCTCCTGACGTTTCACCCACATCTATGGCAGGCATCCTCCGAGGTTGTGAGATCTCTTGGAAACTAGGCAAGTGAGGTTTATAAAGGGTTTCCATCAGACCTCACAACCTCTGAGGATGCCTGCCATAGATGCAGGTGAAACGTCAGGAGAGAATGTTGGAAACTAGGCAAGTGGGGCTTATATATACCCTGTGGAATGATGTCCAAGGTGGGAGAAAGAAAGAACCCTTGTCTGCTGGAGGCAAGTGGGAATGTTGCCATTGGCCACCTTGATTAGCATTGAGGCACATTTTGCTATTATTATTTCTATTATTTCTCACTTACATACAGTCACACTGTGCTGTTATTACTTTTATTATTTCTTAACTACACACAGACACATTAATACATTCTTGGCACCACTTTGCTATTGCTGTTATTATTATTATTACTCTTATTTCTTGTTTACATACAGTCACATTCATGCATTACTATTACTCTTATTTCTTATTTACATACAGTCACATTGATACCTTCTTGGCACCACTTTGCTATTGCTGTTATTACTACTACTACTATTATTTCTTGTTTACATACAGTCACATTCATACATTCTTGGCACCACTTTGCTATTACTGTTACTATTATTATTACTATTATTATTTCTTGTTTACATACAGTCACATTCATGCATTATTATTACTCTTGTTTCTTATTTATATACAGTCACATTCATACATTTTTGGCACCACTTCGCTATTGCCATTATTATTACTATTATTTCTTGTTTACATACAGTCACATTCACGCATTCTTGGCACCACTCTGCTATTATTGTTATTGTTATTATTACTATTATTTCTTGTTTACATAGTCACATTCATGCATTATTATTACTCTTACTTCTTATTTACATATAATCACATTCATACATTCTTGGCACCACTTTGCTATTTTTGCTATTATTATTATTATTATTATTACTATTATTTCTTGTTTACATACAGTCACAGTCATACATTCTTGGCATCACTTTGCTATTGCTGTTATTATTATTATTACTATTATTTCTTGTTGACATACAGTCACATTCATACATTCTTGGCACCACTTTGCTATTATTCTTATTGTTATTATTACTATTATTACTACTTATTGTTATTGTTATTATTACTATTACTACTACTACTACTACTACTACTACTATTTCTTGTTTACATACAGTCACATTCATGCGTTATTATCACTCTTATTTCTTATTTACATACAGTCACATTCATACACTCTTGGCACGATTTTATTGTTATTATTATTATTATTATTATTATTATTATTATTACTACTACTACTATGATTATTTACATGCAAACAACTGCCAGGGCTCAAGGCTATGGAATCCTGGGAACTGGATGGTGACAAGGATAGTCTTCTCTCTCAGTGAAAGTCAAGGATCTCTATGGGGCTGGCCTGTGATATGTCTAGGCACATCTACACTGCAGATTTAACACAGTTTAGTCCCCTTGGACAGCCAGGGCTCAAGGCTATGGCATCCTAGGAACATACAGTCATATTCAAGCATTATTATTACTCTTACTTCTTATTTACATACAGTCACATTCATACATTCTTGGCACCACTTTGCTATTATTATTATTGTTATTATTACTACTATTATCATTTCATGTTTACACACAGTCACATTCATGCATTATTATTACTCTTATTTACACACAGTCACATTAATACATTATTGGCACCACATAATGATGATAGTCTTCTCTCTTGGTGAAAGTCAATGATCTCTATGGGGCTGGCCTGTGATATGTCTAGGCGCATCTACACTGCAGAGTTAACACAGTTTGGTCCCCCTTGGACAGCCAGGGCTCAAGGCTATGGAATCCTGAGAACTGGGTGATGATGATGAGGATAGTCTTCTGCCTATGAAAGCCATAGATATCTCTGGGCGCATCTACAGTGCAGAACTTTAAGCCGCTCCTCATAGGGCTTGTTCTCCAGAATTAAGAGTTTGATACCCCTTGAACTGCCGGGACTCAACGCTATGGCATCCTAGGAACTGGATGATGATGAGGATAGCCTTCTCTCTCGGTGAAAGTCAATGATCTCTATGGGGCTGGCCTGTGATTTGTCTAGGTGCATCTACACTACAGAATCAACACAGTTTGGTCCCCCTTGGACAACCAGGACTCAAGGCTATGGCATCCTAGGATCTGGGTGATGATGGGGATTGTTTTCTCTCTCTATGAAGCCAAGGATCTCTCTGGGGCTGGCCTGTGATATCTCATGTATATCCATGGATATCTCTGGGCGCATCTACACTGCAGAACTTTAAGCCGCTCCTCATAGGGCTTGTTGTCCAGAATTAACACAGTTTGGTCCCCTTGGTCAGTCAGGGCTCAAGGGTATGGCATCCTAGGATCTGGATGATGATGGGGATTGTTTTCTCTCTCTATGAAGCCAAGGATCTCTCTGGGGCTGGCCTGTGATATCTCTGGGCGCATCTACACTGCGGAACTGGCGCAGTTTGGCCCCCCTTGAGCTTCCCAGGGCCTGTGGCCCCCTCACACACCCCGGCTCTTCTGGGGAGGGGGGAGCGGGGGCCTGGCCGGTCTGTCCACACCCAGGTGCTAACCCGCATTCATCCCGCCCTGTTGCCACGGGGGCGCCTCGGGCCTTCCCGGCCTTCGGGCCTCAGAGCGGCGCCAGGCCGGGCCTCCCCTGGCCCCCCGCGCAGACCACAAACCTTCGCCTCGGTGGTTGTTGCCGCCGCCTCTTTGGCCCCCTCCTCCCGCAGCGCGCCTGCGCAGAAAGCCATTTCCGGCAGCACACCCTCGGCGCCGGCCAATCGGCTGCGCCCTCGGCGGAAGTCCCGCCCCTTCCGACACTCACACACCCCCTCCTCCGTTTGGCTGGAGCTGGGAAGCTTTCCTCTTCCTCTAGAGGGCGCGCCTGTTCCGCCTACGGCGAGTCGGAAGGTGCATAAAGCCACCGCTTTCCTCTTCTCGCGCTCTCTCTCTCTCTCTCTGTGTGCTCTATCCTCCCGCTGCCATCTTGGAAAGGAATGGCCGCTGAGGCGCAGGCGCGGGTGACGTCACCGCCAGGAGACCCATGACGCCACGTGATGACGTGATGATTCCAATAGCCAGCCTGCTGCATTCCTGTGGGTGGGTTCCCTTAGCTGGCCTTTTCTGTAGCCACTGTGTGTGTGTATATATATATACATATAATATTTCTATATATATATAATGTATAAATTGGGGAGGCCTGAATGCTGGACTAGGCCTTGGGAGATCAAGGACTCTTGAGGCCATACAAAATCCGGATTATCTGCCTTGGACTGGATTATAGGGCAGCTCAAAGCAGATCATGCCTGAGGCGGGAAGCCCTCTTTCCTTTGGGAGAGCCACACTCTCTCAATTGTGGCAAGTTCTTGGTGGGATGTATGGGGAGACCAAGCCACCTTTATCTCCAAGTCGCAACGGGAATAACAAGCCCTGGAACAACAGACTGGTTCAGGATTGGGAAGGTGTACGGCAGGTCTGTCTACTCTCACCCATCCTATTCAGCTTGTATGCAGAACACATCATGCGACGTGCGGGGCTTGAGGAATGCAAGGCTGGGTGAAAATTTATTTATTTATTTATTTATTTACTGCATTTATTGACCGCCGCTCTCAGCCCTAGGGCGACTCGCGGCGGTGCACAACATATAAAAACAGTGTACAAAAGGGCAAAACAGGAAATCAATACAACAATAATACACTATAATCTAGTTACACTAAATAATCCGCTCCGTCACATCATAGAATCATAACCAATATCGTAATCCGTATTCCGTTCCAGTTGTCAATTACCAGTTGCCGTAGCGCTCAGTTGAATGCCTTCTCAAATAGCCAGGTCTTCAGGCTCTTACGGAAGGACAGAAGGGAGGCGCCTGTCTGATGTCAGCAGGGAGGTCGTTCCACAGCCGGGGGGCCACCACCGAGAAGGCCCTTTCTCTCGTCCCCGCCAGACGTGCCTGTGAAGCAGGCGGGATCGAGAGAAGGGCCTCCCCAGACGATCTCAAGGTCCTGGCTGGAAGAATGGCTGGAAGAAACATCAACAACCTCAGATATGCAGATGACACCACTCTGATGGCCGAAAGCGAGAGGGAGCCGAGGAGCCTTCTAATCAAGGTGGAAGAAGAAAGCGCAAACGCTGGGTTGCAGCTAAACATCCAAAAAACCAAGATTATGGCAACAAGAATGATTGACAACTGGAAATAGAGGGAGAAAATGTGGAGGCCGTGACAGGGTTTGTATTTCTAGGTGCAAAGATGAGTGCAGATGCAGACTGTGGCCAGGAAATCAGAAGACGCTTCCTTCTTGGGAGGAGAGCAATGTCCAGTCTCGATAAAATAGTAAAGAGTAGAGACATCAGACTGGCAACCAAGATCCATTGCCTAGTCAAAGCCATGGTCTTCCCTGTAGTCACCTACGGATGTGAGAGCTGGACCTTCGGGAAGGCTGAGCGAAGGAAGAGAGGCGCTTTTGAGCTGTGGTGTTGGAGGAAAGTTCTGAGAGTGCCTTGGACTGCGAGAAGATCCAACCAGTCCATCCTCCAGGAAATAAAGCCTGACTGCTCATTGGAAGGAAGGATACTAGAGACAAAGTTGAAGTACTTTGGCCACATCATGAGGAGACAGCAAAGCCTGGAGAAGACAATTATGCTGGGGAAAGTGGAAGGCAAAAGGAAGAGGGGCCGACCAAGGGCAAGATGGATGGATGGCATCCTTGAAGTGACTGGACTGACCTTGAAGGAGCTGGGGGTGGTGACGGCCGACAGGGAGCTCTGGCGTGGGCTGGTCCATGAGGTCACGAAGAGTCGGAGACGACTGAACGAATGAACAACAACAACAACATATATATAATATTTATATATCAACTAGCTGTCCCCTGCCAGGCGTTGCTGTGGCCCAGTCTGGTGATCTGGAAAATAAAGTAATGGTATCTAATGTCTGTCATATCTTTCTGCTGGTGGGTAAACAGTATTTCTTGTTGTTTCTTTGTCAGTGTTGATGTGGAGAGTGCCTGGTTTGCCCACCCTGGAACAGGCAACACATAATGGTCCTTCTTTAGGGGTCCCTTTCCAATCTAGGATACTATATCTCTCTGTATGTGAATCATATATATCTATGGCTGGATTGCTCTTTGTCAGGAGGGCTTTGATTACATTTTCTTGCCCTGGTGAAGGGAGTTGGGCTGGATGGCCTTGAGTATTTTCTGTTGGTCATGGGGGTTCTGTGGGGGAAGTTTGCCCCAATTCTCTCATTTGTGGGATTCAGAATGCACTTTGATTGTGGGTGAACTATAAATCCCAGTAACTACAATCCCAAATGTCAAGGTCTATTTCCCCCAAACTCCATCTGTTTTCATATTTGGCCATATGGGATATTCGTGCCAAGTTTGGTCCAGATCCATCATTGTTTGAGTCCACAGTGCTCTCTGGATGTAGGTGAACTACAACTCCCAAACTCAAGGTCAATGCCCACCAAACCATTCCAGTCTGTTCTGTTGGTCATGGAAGTCCTGTATGCCATGTTTGGTTCAATTCCATCATAGATGAACTATAAATCCCAGCAACTACAACTCCCAAATGACAAAATCATAATTTTTTGAGTGATGGTCACTCCTTGTGTTGTGAGACGTTTTGTTGCCAAATTTGGTGTGATTTCATTCATTGGTTCTTTTGTTTTTAAGGAACTCATTATGCACAGAGCATTTTTATATATATAAATATTATAATACAATAATATTATAATATCATATAATAATAAATTTTATAGTCATATATAATCATTATATATACATACAATATTTGTGTATGTGTGTGTATGTATGCATGTGTGTGTGTGTGTGTGTATATTCATTGGGGAGGCCTGAATGCTGGACTAGGCCTTGGGAGATAAAGGACTCTTGAGGCCATACAAAATCTGGATTATCCGCCTTGGACTGGATTATAGGGCAGCTTAAAGCAGATCATGCCTGAGGCGGGAAACCCTCTTTCCTTTGGGAGAGCCACACTCTCTCAGTTGTGGCAAGTTCTTGGTGGGATGTGTGGGGATCCCAAGCCACCTTGTCTCTTTCCTGAGGAATCTGTATAAGGACCAAGTCGCAACAAGAAGAACTGACCATGGAACAACAGATTGGTTCAAGATTGGGAAAGGACTATGGCAGGGTTGTCTAAACTCACCCAACCTCTTTAACTTGTATGCAGAACACATGATGCGAGAATGTGCGGGGCTTGACGAATGCAAGGCTGGGGAAAAAATTGCTGGAAGAAACATTAACAACCTTAGATATGCAGATGATACCACTTTGATGGCTGAAAGCAAGGAGGAGCTGAGGAGCCTTCTAATCAAGGTGAAAGAAGAAAGCGCAAAAGCTGGGTTGCAGTTAAAAAAAAACAACAAGATTCTGGCACCTGGACTGATTGAGAACTGGGAAATAGAGGGAGAAAACGTGGAGGCCGTGACAAACTTTGTATTTCTAGGCGCAAAGATGACTGCAGACACAGACTGGGACCAGGAAATCAGAAGACGCTTCCTTCTTGGGAGGAGAGCAAGGACCAATCTCAATCAAATAGTGAAAAGCAGAGACGTCACACTGACAATGAAGATCCGCATAGTTAAAGCAATAGTATTCCCTGTAGTCACCTATGGATGTGAGAGCTGGACCAAAAGGAAGGCTGAGCAAAGGAAGAGAGATGCTTTTGAACTGTGGTGTTGGAGGAAAGTTCTGAGAGTGCCTTGGACTGCGAGAAGATCCAACCAGTCCATCCTCCAGGAAATAAAGCCCGACTGCTCACTGAAGGGAAGGAGATGAGAGCCAAAGATGAAGTACTTTGGCCACATCATGAGAAGACAGGAAAGCTTGGAGAAGAGGAGGATGCTGGAGAAAATGGAAAGAAAAAGGAAGAGGGGCCGACCAAGGGCAAGTTGGATGGATGGCATCCTTGAAGTGACTGGCTTGACTCTGAAGGAGCTGGGGGTGGTGACAGCCGACAGGGAGTTCTGGCGTGGGCTGGTCCATGAGGTCAACTAGAGAAGAGAATGATGCTGGGGAAAATGGAAGGAAAAAGGAAGAGGGGCCGACCAAGGGCAAGATGGATGGATGGGATCCTTGAAGTGAATGGATTGACTCTGAAGGAGACCCTGGGGGTGGTTAGGAGCCCCCGGTGGTGTTGCATTGGGTTAAACCCCTGTGCCGGCAGGACTGAAGACTGACAGGTCGCAGGTTTGAATCCGGGGAGAGCACAGATGAGCTCCTTCTATCAGCTCTAGCTCCTCATACAATGTGCCTTCAGTGATTGATTACATGACAATCTCTGGCCAAACTCTGCATAAAATGCCCTCAGAAGCACTTTATTTTCTTGTTGTGCAATTAAATCCTTATCCCCCGGAGCCCCTCCCTGATACTGTACATTGCCCTATCTCCCAGTGTTTTAAAATTTTAATCCTTGCATTTGGCCCTGCCCATGGCGATTATTTTAATGTTGTAATCACATCTTATCATTTATGTTTTCGGGATTTAATTTTCAACAACCACTAGAACATAACCTGCTTCTTCTTTTCAGGGGAAACAAAGCACCGGTGTTGCCGTTGGCAACCATGGACCACTTGAGAGGCTAACTCCACCGTCTCCCTGGGCAACCGCAAACAACAAAGTTTTGTGCAAAGAAAGGAAGATGCAGGCAAATGGCACCTAATTGGCACGACAACCATTAGCAAAGAGCGAGGCCTGGCCCCTTGGTTCCTTTCGATGGTGAAGAGGGTGTTTGGCTCAGCGGATCATGTTTGTGTGCCTTGTTCCCAGCTGTTGCCCTCCTTTTCCCCCTCCCTCCCTGCCACCTCCACCGAATGCGAAATCTCTTCCTTCCAGAACCCTTGAAACCCTGGAGTGAAATGAGTCATTAGCAAATGCCATTTCTCAATAAGCAAAACAGGCGTTGCGTACAACCGAACCCCTGAATTCTGGGAACATTCAATGCAATTTCTTGGACTTTTTTTTTTTTGGTGACTAAGGTCAATAACGCCATGTAACAAAATTTGAAAAATGTTCTGTTCCTGATTGAAAGCGTGCTTTCCTGTTTAATTGTGCGGTCCTTACTGTAAAAGTTGTACTTCCAGGAATTTCGTGGTTGTGGCTGCTACAAATTTAGGTTGAATTGTTTAAGACTTGACGATGAGATAGTAATTGGAAAACTAGAGCAAAATGTGCTGCAAGATGTCCCTCTTCATCCATGTTTTTATGATGGAACCAATTAGGAAGTGACATGATGTAATTTTATTTTACTGTGTTACATAATTCTTTAATGAGTTCCCTGCAGATAACTTGCTCCTATTTTTATCTCATTAGAGTCTTCAAATAGTTTTTATCCCATACATGTGGCCCCCCCATTGTTATTGTGATTGTGTTTATTGGAATGTTTTTTTATGACTGTGTTTATATTTTTTTTCTTGATACAATTTGATGATGTTGTCTATTCTTTATGCTCTGGTTTTATCTTGTAGTAATATGTTGTCCGGGCTTGGCCCCATGTAAGCCACTCTGAATCCCCATGGGGGAAATGGTGGCAGCGGGGTATAAATAAAGTTTATTATTATTATTAACTAGCCGTCCCCTACCACGCGTTGCTGTGGCTCACATGGGGTTTCTGTGTGGGAGGTTTGGCCCAATTCTATCGTTTGGTGGGGTTCAGAATACTCTGTGATTTTAGGTGAACTATAAATCCCAGCAAGTACAACTCCCAACTGTCAAGATTCTATTTCCCCCAAACTCCACTAGTGTTCACATTTGGGCATATTGAGTATTCGTGTGGAGTTTGGTCCAGATCCATCATTGTTTGAGTCCACAGTGATCTCTGAATGTAGGTGAACCACAACTCCAAAACCAAAGGACACTGCCCACCAAACCCTTCCAGTATTTTCTGTTGGTCATGGGAGAACTGTGTGCCAAGTTTGGTTCAATTCCATCGTTGGTGGGGTTCAGAATGCTCTTTGATTGTAGGTGAACTATACATCCCAGCAACTACAACTCCCAAATGACAAAATCATATTTTTTGAGTGAAGAACATACATTGTGGTGTTAAGTGTCTTGTGTCCAAATTTGGTGTCAATTCGTCTAGTGGTTTTTGAGTTCTGTGAATACCACAAACGAACATTACATTTTTATTTATATAGATTTATTATTATTAGTATCTGTAGAATCTCCTTTTAGCATGGATAGAAACAGAATGAAGAGGCATGGGGCTCAGAAAGAGATTACATTGCACAGGATCTCTTTCTGAGCCCCATGTCTCTTGTTTCATTAAACAGTTCCTTTGCATTTAATATCAATGGTTCAAAGAATGGGTCAGGCCCTACACATTTTCACCTCCACAAACCTGGCCCCATATTTATTCATTTAGGACATTTATATGCCACCCTTCTCACCCCAAAGGGGACCCAGAGCAGCTTCTAAGTTATATGTAAATGCAATATATTATTAGCATAGCACAATATTAGTACCATACACTACCATAGTGTAGTATTCCACTATACTGTAATATTATTAGTAATTTACATGTAATATGAAATATATAATTCTTATATTGTATTATTATTAGTATTATATTGTATTACATTATAATATTATCAATATTATATGTATATACAACATATTATTAGAACAGCACAATATCAGTAATATAGTAATACTATATGTTATTATATCAGCCTTAAAGTGCCAGTCTTTGCAAAAAGTCTGGGCACTCCTGCCATAGAGTGAAGCAGGGAAGGTCATGCATCCTGCAACTGAAATGGGTGATGCTGTGTGAGTGGCTCCTTGCTTTTGGAGGTCTCAAAGGAGCAAACCAAGGTTGCCTGCAACCAGGTGAGGCCGCTGTTGCTTCTGAGTCGGGAAAGCAAAGGGAAGGACCAACTGCAGCGACCAGATCTTGGGACCTGATCTTGGAAGCCAAGTAGGGTTGGTAAATATAATATTTCCCAGGTAAATAGGGAAAGCTCGTTTTGTGTCATAGATTTCTGTTGCGTTCAATTTGAGGAGTTCCGTTCCTTGACTGTTTGGGTTGGCTCTTCCCAAACAGAGAAGCCTCCTGCTGCAAGATTTTGCATTCCGTGATGTTTACATTTTATGTATGTCTTATGTTTAATGGTTTTAATTTCTTCTAAGTTCATAGTTATATATAATAATTCGTTCTTATGATTTCTTTGTGTACTGTATGTGGCATTGGATTTTTGCCATTAATATGTTGTAAACCACCTTGAGTCCTGCCAGGGGTGAGAAAGGTGGTATCTCTATCATGATTGTGTCTATTGAAATGTTTATTTTTTTATATTATTATTATTATTAATGTCATTTTGATAATGTTGTTGCCGTCTGTTGTATATGCTTTGATTTTATTGCTGTATTATGTTGTCTGGGCTTGGCCCCATGTAAGCCACTCCGACTCCCCATCGGGGAGATGGTGGCGGGGTAGAAATAAAATTATTATTATTATTATTATTATTATTATTATTATTATATAAATACAGCAAATAAATAAATAAATTTTCAATGCATCTCCAGATTTCTGTTGTTGTGCTACTGCAGAGATTTCCAAATGTTTTCTAGGTGTCCTAGTCATCCGCAAACCAGATCAACAATTGGGTCACACCTTCTACAGAAAACCCACACACAGATACATATCTACATAAAAACTCCAACCATCACCCAAGTCAAAAAAGAAGCACCATTAAAGCCTTGGCAGACCGTGCAAAAAGAATCTGTGAACCCCACCTCCTCCTCCAAGATGAACTGAACCCCCTCAACTGGGCTCTCCAGGCCAAGGGAGACTCCACCTCAGGCATCAGAAGAGCTGCAAGACCACCGAGAAGAAGCCACGAGAGTCAAGACGAAGATCCACCCAGAGGAAAAGTGTTCCTGCCAGACATCAAGGGAACCACTGAGCAGGGAAGCGGATGAGGAAACACAACATACAAACTATCCACAGACCCACCAAGAAAATCCAACCAATGCTACGTTCAGCAAAGGACAAGAAGTCTACAGAGGGACCCCCAAACGCAGCAGCAGCATTGCCCAGGCACGAATCAAGGAACATGGAAGGCATTGCAGACTCCTTCAACCAGAGAAGTCAGCCATAGCAGAGCACCTGAGGAACCAACCTGGACACAGCAGATTATTATTTGAGAACACAGAAATGCTGGACCACTCTCACAACCACCATGTCAGACTACACAGAGAAGCCATTGAAATCCACAAGCATGTGGACAATTTCAACAGAAAGGAGGAAACCATGAAAATGAACAAAATCTGGCTACCAGTATTAAAAAAACTCTAAAATTACAACAGCACAACAGAGAGGAAACAATCAGGCACATCAAATCACCTCTCAACAAAAGATTTCTCCAGGCACTGTCAGCCCATTGTATGCTAATGAAGGTGGTCAGTTGAAACATTCACACCTGGCTCCAGCGGACCAGAGTTCTTTCTGTCACCCTGGACCTTCCACAGATATATAAATCCAAATTTCCTCGTTTCCAACAGACCTCACAACCTCTGAGGATGCCTGCCAGAGATGCAGGCGAAATGTCAGGAGAGAATGCTTTTAGAACATGGCCATATAGCCTGAAAAAATCTACAACAATCCTTAGAGCTTATGAGGATTTCACAGCCTTTGAGGATGCTTGCCAAAGATGCAGGCGAACCGTCAGGAGAGAATGCTTCTAGAACATGGTCATATAGCTCCCCAAAAAACTACAACAACACAGTTTTGTGGGAGAACTGAGGAGATTTGTCCCTTCGCGCGCGCCGTCCCCGCACCGAGTCGGGCGAGCAGCCAACGGGGTGGCGGCGTCGGCGTCAGAGGCGTGGCCATTCCGACTGTAGCCCCGCCCTCTTGGATGTGGCCCCGCCCCCGTGCGGATGAGCCCGGAAAAAGAGGGAGGGCAAGATGGCGGCGGAGGGCAGCCAATCAGGTGGCGGTGACGTCACAGGGCGTCAGAGGCCTGCTCTTCTTTTTTTTATTGACTGTAGCCCCGCCCTCCTTGCTGTGGCCACGCCCCCGTGCGGGTGAGCTTAGTGCTTGGAAGAGGAGGGAGGGCAAGATGGCCGCGGAGGGCAGCCAATCAGGTGGCGGTGACGTCAGAGGGTTTTTTTCTTGGCTGTAGCTCCGCCCTCCTTGCTGCGGTTGCCATGGCGGCAGCGCTGGGGGAAAAGGAGGCGGAGTGAGGGAGGGAGAAAGGGAGGGAGGGCAAGATGGCGGCGGAGGGCAGCCAATCAGCTCTTTGCGTCGTTGGCTCCGCCCCCGTGTCTGCGGTTGCCATGGCTGCGGCCCCGCCCCCGTGCGGATGAGCTCACTCACTCACTCAGCGCCGGGAAGGAGGAAAGGAGGAGGAGGAGGGAGGGAGGACAAGATGGCGGCCACGGCAGCAGCAGCGGCGGCCGGAGGAGGAGGCGGAGGCGGCGGGGGCGCGTCGTGTGCGGCCTCCTCCTCCCCGTCGCCGTCGTGCTCCTCCTCGGCGGGGTCTCCCTCTCCGGCGCCGGCCCCGCGGCTGTGCCCGCCCCCTCCCCCTGCGCACCCTCCGCCGCCGCCACCCCCAGCGCCCCCGGCCCCTCCGCCCCGGGCGCCCCCCGCTCCCCCTCCGGGCCCGGCCCGCATCGGGCACTACGAGGTGGAGCGCACCATCGGGAAGGGGAACTTCGCCGTCGTCAAGCTGGCCACACACCTCCTCACCCGCGCCAAGGTCAGCCGCACACTCTTCACAACAACCCCCCCCCCCCCCACACACACACAAACACAGTGGTTGTTGTTCTTGTCAGAGCTTACATTGCCCTCCTCCTCCTCCTCCTCGTTGTTGTTGTTGTTGTTGTTATCTGTTCTTAGGCCCTCTTGGCACCGTTATTATTACTACTATTCTTATTTGCTTACAGTCACATTTTACTATTATTTTGCTATTATTGCTATTCTGTTGTTGTTGTTGTTGTTGTTATCTGTTCTCAGGCTCTCTTGGCACTGCTTTCCTTGTCATAGTTATTATTACTACTATTCTTATTTGCTTACAGTCACATTTTACTATTGTTGCTATTATTCTTTCTTATTTACATAGCTCGCATTTTGCTCAAATTATTCTTAGTATTACTCTTGGGTTTCTCTTGAGTTTTCTGGGCTGTCAGGCCACGTCCCAGAAGCATTCTCTCCTGACGTTTCACCCACATATCAGAGGTTGTGAGGTCTCTTGGAAAGTAGGCAAGTTGGGTTTATATATACGGTCGTATTTTGCTCTTTATTATTACTATTATTATTATTATTATTATTATATACGGTCACATTTTGCTATTATTATTATTACTAGCCGTCCCCTGCCACACGTTGCTGTGGACCACTCTGGTGGTCATGGGGGTTTGGCCCAGTTCTATCATTGGTGGGCTTCAAAATGGTTTGTGGTTGTAGGTGAACCACAAATTCAAGCAACTACAACTCCCAAATGTCAAGATTCTATTTTCCCCAAACTCCATCTGTGTTCGTATGTGAGGATATTGAGTATTCGTGGAAAGTTTAATCCAGATCCATCATTGTTTGAGTCCTCAGTACTCTCTGGATGTAGGTCAATGCCCACCAAACGCTTCCAGTGTGTTCTGTTGGTCATGGAAGTCCTGTATGCCATGTTTGGTTCAATTCCATCGTTGGTGGGGTTCAGAGTGCTTTTGGATTGTAGGTGAACTATAAATTCCAGCAACTACAACTTCCAAATGACAAAACCAGTTTTTTTGAGTGAAGGACATACATTGGCCTGAGAGGTGTCTTGTGTCCAAATTTGGTGTCAATTCATCCAGTGGTTTTGGAGTTCTGTTAATCCCACAAACGAATATTACATTTTATTTATATAGATTATTATTCTTGGATTGCTCAGAGTTTTCTGGGCTGTCTGGCCACATTCCATAAGAATTGTCTCCTGACGTTTCACCCACATCTCAGGTTGTGAGGTCTCTTGGAAACTAGGCAAGTGGGGGTTTATATATATGGTTGCATTTTGCTATTATTATTATTATTATTATTATTATTACTTTTGGGTTGCCCTGAGTTTTTTGGGCTGCCTGGCCAATATGTTCCAGAAGCATTCTCTCCTGACGTTTCACCCACATCTCGGAGGTTGTGAGGTCTCTTGGAAACTAGGCAAGTGAGGTTTATATATACGGTCGCATTTTGCTATTATTATTATTACTCTTGGGTTGCTCTGGGTTTTCCAGGCTGCCTGACCAATATGTTCCAGAAGCATTCTCTCCTGACGTTTTGCCCACATCTGTGGAGCCCCCGGTGGCACAGTGGGTTAAACTGCTGAGCTTGTTGATTGAAAGGTTGCAGGTTCGAATCCAGGGAGCAGTGTGAGCTTTCGCCGTCAGCCTCAGCTTTTGCCAACCTAGCAGTTCGAACATGCAAATGTGAGTAGATCAATAGGTCCCACTCCAGCAGGAAGGCAACAGCTCTCCATGCAGTCATGCCAGTGGCCTCATGACCTTGGAAGTGTCTACGAACAATGCTGGCTCTTCGACTTAGAAATAGAGATGAGCACCAGAGTCGGACACAACGTGATTTAATGTCAGGGGGAAACCTTTATCTTTACCTATGGTGGGAATCCTCAGAGGTTGTGAGGTCTCTTGGAAACTAGGCAAGTAGGGTTTATATATAATGGGGTTTCCAACAGACCTCACAACCTCTGAGGATGCCTGCGAATAGATGTGGGCAAAACGTCAGGAGAGAATGTTGGAAACTAGGCAAGTGCGGTTTATATATACCCTGTGGAATGATGTCCAGGGTGGGAGAAAGAAAGAACTCTTGTCTGCTGGAGGCAAGTGGGAATGTTGCCATTCACTACCTTGATTAGCACTGAGGCACTTTTTGCAATGATTACTACAATTATTTCTTACTTACGTACAGTCACACTGTGCTGTTATTACTACTGTTATTTCTTATCTACATACAATCACATTCATACATTCTTGACACCACTTTGCTATTATTATTGTTATTATTACTACTATTATTTCTTGTTTACATATAGTCACATTCCTGCATTATTATTACTCTTATTTCTTATTTACATACAATCACATTCATACACTCTTGGCACCACTTTGCTATTATTATTACTATGATTATTTGCATGCAATCATATTCATGCATTCTTGACACAGATTTGATTGCCGTTGTTGTTGTTTTTGTTGTTGTTTGTTATCTACTGTTGCATTCATGCATTCTTGGCACTTCTTTGATTGCTATTATTACTATTACTATTATTTCTTATTTACATATGCTCACATTCATACCTTTTTGGCACTGCTTTGATTGCCATCGTTATTTATATTATTCTTATTATTATATTGTTACCTACATACAGTCACATTCATGCATTTTGGTACCACTTTCATTGCCCTTATTATTATTTGATATCTACATACGGTTGCATTCATGCATTATTATTATTATTATTATTATTATTATTATTATTTCTGTTATTAATTAACTACATACGGTCGCATTCATGCATTCTTGACACAGCTTTGAATGCTCTCATTATTTTACTGACACAAAACACTATGTCACAGCAAACGAGATCTCTATGCTGGATTTTGTATCACAAAATCATAAGTCGAACACTTTCCAAGCGTCTAGGACTGTGTGATGTATTTTTGAGTGATGCGCGCAGATCCAAGTCAGGTGGCCTTTTGCAGTTGACAGATCGTGATTTTGTCAATGATTATTGTTTCCAAATTATTATTTATATTTTTATCATTATCATTATTACTTATTTACATACAGACATCACTTTGATTACCCTCATTATTATTATTATTATTATTATTATTATTATTATTATTATTATTTGCACCATTTTGATTTCCATTATATTTTTTCTTATTTACGCATGGTAACATTCACCCATTCTTGGAACCTCTTTCATTGCCCTTATTGTTATTATTATTTCCTATGTATGCCTTTCCTTTCCTCTGCCAAAGGAGACGCAAAGCGGCTCAGTGCTCTGCAGCACTGGGATCTGTAGTTTGACAAAGGGGCATTTAACGAAGGCAATTTGGCCCAATGCTGTGGGATCCTGGGAGTTGTCGTTTGGTGGCGCATTTATGGTGCCATTCTACACAGTACAGTTAATGCATCTTTGGTGGGGTTTTAGCAGCTGTGGCGCATTGCAAGGGAATCCTGGGAGTAGCAGTTTGCACTCTTTGGTAAGAGAAAGAGAAATGCCTTGTCAAAGTAGAACTCTCATGATTCAATAGTAGAGAATTACTCCCGAAGTAACTGTAAAGTTGGACCAAACAGAAATAGAGAATTATTATTATTATTATTATTATTATTATTATCTGAAATAGATCCAGGATTGGTCTTTACCTGGGACCAATCCTGGATCTATTTCAGATAATAATAATTATTATTATCTTTATTGTTGTTGTTATTATTATTATTGTTTATTGCTTTTTTGTTTATGATCTTTATTTTAATTGTTTTTATTGCTCTTGTTATTGCTTGTATTGTGGGCTTGGCCTCATGTAAGCCGCACCGAGTCCCTTGGGGAGATGGTAGCGGGGTACAAATAAAGATGATGATGATGATTATATCCCTCTATTACTGTTTGGTCCAACTTTACAGGTCTTCTTGGCTCATTGTATAGAAATCAATCTCAGCTATTTTTCTCTAAACATGACAAAAACGTTGTTGCCCTGGTTTAACCTTCAGCAGCCTGGCCTTTGGTTTTATGTCTGGAAACTATGAATCCCTCTGAGAAGCAGCTGAAGGAACTGGAGAGGTTTAGTTTGGAAAAGAGGAGTTTGAGGCATGTTTCACCTTTGAAAGTAGGCAACAGAACCACAAATTCAAATGGCAGGAAAAGAGTTTTCCATCTAAACCTCAGAAAGAACCTCCTGACTCTCAGAGCTGTCACAAGAGTGGGATTGTGTCCGTGAGAGCCTCCTTCTCTGGAAGTTTATCAACAAGCTGGCTCTCTGTTGAGAAGGCTTGGGTTGTGTCATTGGGCTGGATGGCCCTGGGGGAAGGTGTCTCAATTGTCAGATCCTAATCTGTGCTGGGCCACTCTCTGAGACCCCCCAAAACACCCAAAGAGTGCCTGCGAAGGTGGCCAGAGCTCTGCTACTTCTGGTATAACTTTTAGAGGTTTGGAGCCTTCCCCTTAGAATGGTCCTTGTTTTGTACTCTTTCTTTCTTTTGGAACAACACACCTTTAAATAGTAAATTTTCCCCAAGCAAAGCATGCCCGTGAAGGTGGCCAGAGCTGTGCTTTTTGTGGTGTAACTTTTAGAGGTTTGGAGCCTTCCCCTCGGAATAGTCCTTGTCTTGTACTCTTTCTTTTGGAGCAACACACCTTTAAATAGTAAATTTTCCCCAAGCTCTTTCCTTTCCAGTTTTTGAACCATTGGTGGAACAACACACCTTTAAACCTTTGTGGTGATGGAGCTTTGCATCAGGTTGGAAGGACTGGAATGCCTCTGAGGAAAAGAGGAAGAAGGGGAGGAGGGTTTGTCTTGCAAATATTTATGTGTACAATCTCTCAGCACACCAAGGCAAGGCAGAATGGGGAGTAAATGCAGGGCAGAACAGTATCTAAATACCATTATTCAAAAGCCAGCCTCGTTAAGTTGGGGTCCTGAATGTTGTCATTTGTGTTGGACACTTGGATGTTATTGTCTCCTTTCTGTGGGAGATCTAGTGCATACC